ATACTATTTCAGTACGTAATTAATTTAAAATTTTAAATAATTATTACTGACTTTCAAATGACTCAATTAGAGATATATGTATCCACAAGGTGATCAAATTTTAACATTAATAAATCGGTGGGACATGATTGACCTGGGGACGGGAGGAGGGGGGATTAGTCGGTAAAGCGGAATACCATTGACCAAGAGGCACTAGCGGATCCAGGATTTAATTTTTTTTGTGGGAGCTTCAGCCCGAAAGCTTTTTTTTCATAAAAATAACGATAATTACTTTGGGAAAAAAGAAAGAAACTAACTACCTAAATGAAATGGCGTTTCGGTGATTCCTAAAGTCCTTTCAACAATAATACTTTAAGAGATAATTTTTAATATTTTTTCCATAAAACATGGTTATATTTTACCATTTTGGGGAGCGCTTCAGCCTCAAAACTTCCCCCTCCCCCCCGTAGATCCGCCCGTGCCAAGAGGGAGGGGAGGTTCTTGATTAAAACTTTGGTTTATTAAGTTCAAACAGCAGTTCAAATTTATTTTTACAGTAATTAATTTTACATATACGTACGTTTATCAGGTGACATAGTATTAAGCTGAAATAAGATTGAGTAATTAGTTCTGAAGTCGTATTATTGAGAGCGAATAATAACACAGTTTTTAAGAGCAATATATTTTGTGCCAGCAGCTTGTACACAATCAAGTACTCCTTTTTTCAAACTGCTAAAAACTTATTGAAGGTGACAAAATTTCGGTAATGAAGTAGTAAATGACGTTTTGCTATGATGCCCAATATTTTAACTTCTCCTCATCTATATATTTTTCTAATAACGATACTTCATTAAAAAGATGATTTTCGTGTTGTTTATCATCATTAAGCCCCATATAGCGCCTCTCCTGAGCCTCTACTGGTTCTTAATACCAGTAATGCGACTCAGTGCGAGGAGCTGGGATCTCCTAGAGTCCTGCTTTTCCTTCCACGAGTGGATAGAAAGACTTGGCTAGTTCATTTGAGTGAATGGATTCGGTAAATATTGTATAGTATATATGTGCTTTAGTTGTTCTTTTGAATAGTTTAGTTTTTTTGTTTGTATACATTTACTTTTATTATTATAAGTTTCTGTATTATTTATAGAGTATGAATATGCTCTCTGAAAACCATTATAAATGTCCTTAATTGTGACATATTGTAATATTTCTGAATAAATAAATAAATCCAAACAAAGGTGGTCCAATTCTAACACGTCAAAAATGCAAACTTTGCTAAGCAGTTCTCGATAACCAGTTTCTTAAAATTATTTGTTATTATTAAAGTTAAACATTATAAATTCAACAAAAATAATATAAAACTCATATCCTGGGGAAATAGTTACGTGGTCGTCTAAAGCCGTATATTCTCTTCCCGTTCTTCAGCCGTTCCCTGGCGTGCGTGCATTCTTTCCGAAAATCAGGGCTTTTTAAAAACGACGCGGGACGCGGGAAGTCTGGTCACCTTATGTACGCACTATCATGGAGATAAATGTTTAACAATAGTTTTATTGTGTTAGAAAATAAATGAATTTATTTTAATTTAACTCCAATAGTGTACACCAAGTTCAATATATACGTATATTAGCGCAAAGGTCATATCAAATCATTAGAGGACCGAGAATTTCCGGAACACAATACTTTTCAGAATTGGAAGTTGATGGTTCCCGCACCTGCAGGCGCAGTTCCATGTCGAACGATCAGGGTTGATGGAATACCATAAAGTTTATAGCCAGGTTGAAGAGCTCAAGAGGTAGAATGGGTTATAAAATACGAAAATAAGGCAGTTCCAAGACCCGTTTTATTTCTTGTGACTAGTGAAAATATGCGATTGATTTATTTTTGTAAAAATATTCCAGATGTATAATGTAAGTACGAGCAGGACGATCCAAGACATGGAGGTCTCACTGACAAAAACGACGTCCTTAAATTGCTACGCTAGGTATTATTGGTGAGTTCATCATAAAGGTGGTTCCGATTTACAGCCTATAACGACGTAATGCAGAAAAGCGAGACTGGCAGCTATAAAATCCAGGAAGATGATAATGGCAAAGCTATTAGGCTGCGTATTTTAGGAGTCCGAGGGTCAAATCCGGGTGTTTATGGCCACCCGACCATTAACCCAGCCAACGATACGATTTTTCACGTGAGTTCGTGAAGTGGTCTATTAACTGAAACCGAATAATATATTTTTCAGCTAAATGTACTATAATATACCCATTCATATTATTTAAAAAAATATATAGATATTGAGATATTAATGAGAAATTTAACGTTCTTCTAGGAAAAAAAAGAGCGATGGTGATGGTCAGAAAATCGAATTTTTATTGCCAATATAAAAAAATTGAACTATCCAACCTTTCTTCTTTTTTTTTCATTCGTTTCTTGAACTAACAGTATAAACGAAAATCTCATTTTTTTAATTTAGTCATGAGATTTACAACTGTATAAATTTAAAAATACATCCAGTAAATGTGCACATGGTAATAATAAAATCACATGAAAACGCTTGTTGAGAAACTACCCATTGGTAGCACTCTAATAATATATTTACATAAATAGATCACGAGGCCAACTTCTTTTCAGACGCCTTGGATGGTTATCAGGTATCGAAGAGGAAGCAAGGTTTGAAACGAGAGGGTTCGGATGGTTTTGAAGTTTGTTATGGAAGGATAGGTATCCGGATTGTGCTAAATCGGAAACACATGGTACGTTAAGGTCGTTATGAATGATTTTATTTGTGACATAGTAAGGAGCATTGAGGATTTTACGAAGGATTTTGGATTGTAAGGATTCGATACGAGAGGAATTCGATGGTTTAGTGGAGCCTCAAAACTCAATCCCCTAAGTCCTTATTATAGTCATGTATATAAGTCTTTTGTAATGTATAGAAACCTTAGAGCGTTTGTCTAGTAAGTGCTGGAGTGCTGGAAACGTCGAGCAGTTCCTTGTCGTCCAGTCTTGTTTGAGGATTCCAAGTGAGTCGTTTGTCCAGATGGAGTCCTAGGTATCGGATTTGTCCAACAGGAATACGCGGGGAATTGTTAAAGGATACTTTAGGACAGGAAGTCATAGGTTTCCCGCCGTAAATATCATTTATATCAACAAAAAAAAGCTTGAAATGTGTCGATTAACTGTGTCTTCCGCTGTGCAGGTCACTCTTTATCGAATTATTATCATCCGACTAAAAATTTGTGAATGATTTCATCTTATCCTAACTTACAACTATTTTATCTAGAAGTGGAGCGTTTCCTTAATAAATTAATTTTTAATTTAATGAGGCACTAAAAACTCTCCAGATTTCAAACGACCAATTTCTGTGAACTTTCGTAAATAAAAAAATGTAAAGTTACGATGAAGCCATTCATAAAGTTTAAACGGATATTAATATTGTGATAATAATTTAAGTTATCAAACTTTAAAAAAAAGATGAAATAGTTCACTTAAGAAATCATAAATTTTTAGCAAATAGATTTAACATATTATTCAATTACTGGTCAGTGGTTTAGCTCAAATTGTTTCTAAACACTCACTGGATTCCACCAAATAATTTAAGACATACAGAAGATATGCAGTTTTAAGAAGACTTAAAAATCGATTCAGTTGTTCGATTTAAAAACCGTCACATAGAATTTAGCCACACATAATTTAGTCATATAAATACGGATTTTTACCGCGATCTGTATGCAGTCTGCAGTAGAGATGGGCTAAGATAATAATTTTATTGAAATAAAGCTGGAATGGTGAATTTGATATAATAGCTTTATTTTATTTTCCAATAAAATTAAGTGTTATGAGGCATTACCAAGAGGCAGTAACTTCCAAGAATAACTTTCGTCACAAGACAACTTTACCAAATATTCATGATGGTGATATTCATGATTTTTCGCAGAATTATTTATTTATTGTCTTATGCTTTACAATTAATTCTTCAGATGCGAATACAATATTATTCTTTTTTTTTTTTTTTTTTACAGGTGATCAAAATGATAAATGTCTTGAAATTGATAAATACATATTCACGATCTTAATTGTAGACTAATAAGTTTTTTTTATTCATTTTAATGAAATTTACAACTGTATTACATGGAAAATACAACAAGTAAATGTGAATTTGGTAACATGACATGTACAACATGAAGATAAACTACCCATTGGTAGAACTCAATAATATGTATTTTAAAGAGGATATAATAATATATATTTTTTTTTTATTTGTTTATTTAGAAACATTACATTCTGTCACATCAAGGACATTTATAATAGTGTTCAGAGAGCACACTCACACTCTAAATAATATTTTTCCCATTTATGTATTTAATAAAAATAAGTAAATTTAGAATATTTCTGTGCACCGAAGGTAAAGAACATCATGTACATTTTTTTTTTTATAAAATAATTTTGTAACTAAAAAATAAATTTTAATAGCTCAAAGTTATGGAACGTTGGCTCCCCTGAACAAATACAAAAATGGACATGGTGTTGTTTATCTTTGGGGTACAGATTTGTAACCAGTATAGTTAACTTATTTTTAAATAATTTAAAATGTAGTTGATAAAAATGAATTTTGTAAAATTTCGGATTTCTTCGAACACTGAAGATAGCTATTTTTTATCAGAGTGAGAATATTTTAAAAAAAAAATCTATATTCTTACTTAGTAACTAATGTATACAATGCAAATCTATATGGAATGCAAAATTCAGTTATCGGTTATTCTGAACTTTTTCTCTTTATATATATTACTTACTTGTCTTTTGTTCTTACATTACAGATAGCAACTGACTAATAATAAAGTATTTTGAAAGGCGAGTATGCAGTTACAGTGAAAATTTTACTCCATAGAAAACGAAAGAAATATTAACTAATATAAAAATCCAAGAAAGAAACTTGAATGCTATAGAATGAGGTTACCTTTTACTCTTTCTTAACAAGCTTATATAAATGTTTCAACTATACTTAATATAAACATAAGTTAATTACTCACATTGTACATCCAGAAGTAAAGAAGCATTGAGCGGGGCCGGCAGCGTCGGATGAGTCACGATGCAGGCTACGGTGGAGTTGTGGTAAGCCCTCCTCACGGAAGGGATGGTGGCGATGGCCGACGACACGGACCCCCTGGGGGGCGCGGGGGTGGTCTGGAGTGCCAGGCCGGGGGCCGTGGAGCCCGCGGGCGGGACCAGCAGCCAGTGCAGCCCGGGGGCCGGCGCCCCCCCCTCCACCAGGCACTCCACGCTCAGGGCAGAGTTCTCCTTCACCGGCACAAACAGGTTACCGGGGTCCAGCCGCCGCTTGTCGATCATCAGGTAAGGCGCCTTTGGGGGCTCTGGAAAGCAAATGTTTAAGTTAGCAACTGGAACTTGAATAAATAAAGATACTCTTAATCTAGCATAATAGCAATCGGTGGGTATGCAATTTTATATATATTAATGATGTATTGAGAAATATTCATGGACAGTATATTAAAAGTAAGAATTAAGAACCATTAAAAATATTAATTTTTTTTTTTAATTTGTAGTCTCTATTCACACTTGTTTGAAAATATTAACAACCAGTGAATTTGATGTTAATAATAAAATAAAATGGATTGAATTGCCCCTGATGGAGAGCGTATTCAGCGGCATCTTCTCCTGGCATGATATCGATATTAAATGTTAGCCAAGAAAGTACCTCATCCAGCTTTTCTTATTATAGTAATTATTAATTGATAAATATATTTTTTAAAAACCTGTACCACTACAACCCATAAAGGGTTTAATTTCAGTTGGAGTACCTCAAGGCAGTTTCTTGGTCCCACACTTTTCAACATTTACTGTTCGTTCAGACATGCCACAACATTCTGAAACAATGCTGACTACATTTGCTGATGACTCGGCAATATTAACATCGAACAAGGATGCAGCTAAGGCTTCTCAGGTACTTCAAGAACACCTAGACGACATAGCTTGTTGGGCTAAAAGGTGGAGAATAAAAATGAAAGAGTCTAAGAGCCAATTTGTTTCATTTACACTTGAACATGACTCTGTTCCTCTAGTATTCTTTAATAATATCGCTCTACCATCTTTATAAACTGCTGGACAAACAACTGAAATGGACATGCCACATAAAAGAAAAAAGAAAAGAACTTAATCAGCGATACGGATTTCTTTCTAGGCTAATTGACAGACGTTCTAAATTATCTGTGACTAATAAATTAACTATTTACAAATCCTCATTAAATCACTTTAGACATATGGGATGGAACTATGGGGAACAGCAAAGAATTCAAATATAAAAATCATCCAGTCATTCCAGTCCAAAGTCCTTCGTAAAATTGTAGAAGCATCCTTTTATGTTTCAAACCTCACGTTACACACTGACCTTAACTCTCCTTTCATCACGGCAACTGCCACTGACCGCTTTAATAATTTTCATGATAGCCTGACTCTAAATTCCAATCCACTTACTCAAGCTCTATCTACTGTCATAAATCCATATAATCCGCCCAGAAGACTGCTGAGGCGCTGGCCAAGAGACTTATTGTATTTAGCTACTTGCTGTATTATCTTTCTTTTGTGTGTTGTTATGTGTTATTTTACAACTGTTTTTTTTTCTTTTTGTTTTGTTATTACTATTCTTTTTTTTTATGCTATCATTTCTTCTCCTTGATATCATTGCTGAATACCGAGTTAGATGGCAAATTTATTGTGAGCCAGAAATATGTATAACTAATAAATAATAAAGTACAGTACGGTTTAAGGAAGCACTTTTAAGGTCAATGATTGTGCAGGGAGGTGATTGGATCAGGATCATGCTCAATCGCTAGGTCTTCCCTCTTAATTAATTATTGCATCGAGAATACTCACTTTATAAAGGGTAGGTACCCCGAGAGGGTTGACTGCCCTTAGCCCGATCAAACTACCTGGGATTTCTCTCTGAGAAAGTAGAGCCCTGCTAGCTTAATACCTGGCAAACTTACACTCTGGCACGCTTGTTGTGACCATGTTTTCTTTTGTGTATGTTAAGGTATCCTTGTAATTTGTCATGAAATTGTTTGCAATGGATTTTTATGCGTTTGTTAACAGCCGGTATGTGAATGTCAGAGAGTAAGTTTATGTCGCAAATAGTGTTTCCCAAATGCTAAACCAATTCGATTCTTGATCTTGCGCACTCAGTCTTGCTCTTAGTTTTAAGCAGTGATCTAGCGACAATCTTACAGTTACCTACTAGCTTATTACTGTAGAGATATTACAGTAATTGTTGACATAGGAGAAACTTATCTAAGCTCGAATGAAAAATTCGAAGTGTTAAATGCAAAAGTATGTTGGTTATACCGATTCTTTACACATAATAACTAAAATTATCAAGTATTAGGTAACTATTTTGCCTTACTTTTTATTTAAAAAATCGATTTTTTTTTAGTTTTAGTCTTGGTCTTGCAACTGTAAGACGATCCTGGTCTTAGTCTTGCAAAGTCTCGCAATCGTACAAAGGTGTTTTTATAATTATATGAATGTTTTTGCTTGAAATATTGTAAGTTTATTAATCAGAGTCTTTTTAGAATAGAATAGAAAAATAACTTTATTCTGGGACACAGTCCCTTGAGAATAACAAAATTGAAAGATTACATCTGGACAAAATAAAATCAATCGAAAAAAAGAAATAATGTAAAAAAAAATATAAGGTAAAAAAAATATAAGGTAAAAATTCTATATACTAAACAAACGAAACTATATACAAAACAATTAATACTATGACAAGAAACTTAAAGCTATTTGCACTGATAGACCAGTATACACTTTTAAGAAAACAATAAAGAATTAAAAAATAAAAAAAAATGTATCAAATTCTCTATTAAAATCAGCTCGAATGGTTAGCAACTATCTGACTGTTTTTGGGATAGGAATTGGAAACGGAGGGTTTTGAATGTGGATATGGATGGGGAATGTCAAATTTTGATAGGAAGGAAATTCCAGAAATTGACAGAGCAAACAATGAAGGAATTTTGGAATGAGGCAGATCTGTGAGAAGGCATGTAAATGTCAGAAGGTCGAGATCTTGTGGACAGCTGTTTTATACATCTATGATGCGTAGGTCCATACATATTTTAGAAAGTGTATTGGCTTAATTACTGACTGTTTCAGATTTGAATGTTTTCAGAAGTGAGTGTAAGATCCTATAAGGTTTAGATTTTTTTTTTAGTGGGGGCTCCGTCTCATTTTTCGATCTTACGTCAGACTTAATGTCTTTCAGTTCTCCTTGATATTGCAGATTCCACAGAGAGATGGATAGTTAAATATTAAAAACTTTGATAAATTGTGTATATTTCTATTAGCCCCAGAGGTGCATGAAGGTGCCCTTGACATGATCAAACCCCATACGATCTCTTTCTATTTATAGCCAAAACAAGCTTAATACCTGACAATCTTACGCCCTGGCATAAACTATCCTTCCTTACATAGTGTAAACAAACAAATCTTTCTTTTTTGGTACGAATTTAATTATGAATTTTAACGTGGCCTTGATGGAAACGTCAATATTGACATCACTACGCAGAATTATCCTTTCAAATGAGTACTACTTCTGGAATGTTTATTTAGCGTACCAGGTCTTTCATACGTAATCTCGGGTTACATCGACTTACAAGCCTTTCAACATAATCATCTATTCAAACCTTCTTTGAGAGATATCTCAGAATACCTAATTAATATGTCGGGAGTTATTTCATCTAATTGAATACAGAGTTGACATCTAGAACTATCTTATACAGAAATGGTACTACTCATATAATCCTAACTTTGAGGCATTACGCTTAATACTTTTCAATCCATTACGTTATTTTATGATTACATTATTTAGTAGAAAGGGGTAACATGTATTAGCCACGTGTGCTAAGTTACCCACCAGTTAGCCTTGAATTTTCCAAAAATTGGGGAATTCCAGACAATGCCGGACAGTGAAGTGTGCACGGTGGCGCCTAGTCAATTTTCTCCTCGAGACCCTGAAATCAACTATTGAGAATCTGGATTTTTTCGACTGTATCCTAACAATTGATTTTTATATCTTTTGCATTTTTTCTCTTTTATATTAACGAAAACTTGTTTTCTTTAATAGGTAACAATATTTTGACGAAATGCATTGTTCAATTGTTAAATTTGTGACATTTGGATGGTTGTTCTTCTGAATGTTAGATTTCCTTTAATCAAATATTTAAAATATAAACAAATCAGTAAGACCATTTTAAAGAAAATATTTATCGAAAAATTAACCTAACATAATTCCACTATATTTATATCTTTAAAAAATATATTAATTTTATTATTATATTGCCACACGGACACCTTGCACATATTGCAACATTCCTCAGACGGACATTGTACACTACCTTGATCTTACCTTTGAAAGAAGGATAACATGGATCTCACATGTCAAAATGAAACGGGAGACACTCAATAGACGACTCAAACTACTTTACTGACTTTTTTCCAAATCTTCAAACCTAGACTCAAAACTAAACTACTGAGACAGAAACTAAATACATACATACTTTCTCAAACCAATAAGGACTTAGTCCTCAAAGATACAAAGAGTACAGATACAAAGACACATTTACACAAATTTCAAACTTTCTAATTAAAAATATTACGACTTTTAACTAAAGCACTTTGGTACTTGACAAACAAAACCTTGCATACCGTTTCCTCCTGCCTACAGTTGACTAACACATAAGAACTCTTTACAAACGATTTCACAACAATTCACACGGACATACTAACATACTAATCAGAGATATGCCTTCAGCTGACGTGCCCATCAATACGAAGAAGAGACTAAAAAGGTGCTGGATGGGAGACCTCCTTTCTTAACACACCATGGCAATTGATTCAAGTCAGGGAATAGGAACTGCTGGGTGCTATCCTTCCCCATGCATGACATGTCACTTTGACAGGTACAGATTGATATTAAAAGAATAAAAGAAAAAAAATAATATTGCAATAAAGGAATCTAGATCTATTTTTATATAAACTTCAGTGCAATATTTTTCTATTATGTTTTATATATTTGTTTTTTATGTTTATTTTGTTTACCTAAAGTGAATTACTTATAATTGAAGACTTTTATATAATAGAGAATTATTATTGTTTTTATAAAAATACCGATTATAAAAAATCTAAGATTTAAAAAAAGATCTAATTAACCAGATATAATAAAAACATTTCTGGTTAGGAATGATTATCATTATCTTATTATCGTTTTATAACTTTACCATCCCAAGCTTTTTAATTAATTACATTATTTCTCAGTAGATAGAATATGTTTTGATTCTTTTTTATTTTTTTATTTATTTTTTTTATTATCATTTATTCAAAACATTAAATATGTAACACAACACCTTTATCAACTTCATGCATTTAATTAATATGACATTTCATTGCAATAAAACACTAAATAACAATCAAGGAATGCCTATAGAGGCATCTGGTTTATCATTAAATCGTCTAGATGCAATAAAGCCAATTCTAAAGTAGTTAGGACACATCTGTTACGTTGCATCGTAAATTCCCAATGGCGGGGAGGTAGGGAAGTTATCAGGAACTAGGGCATGCATCTAAGCATGAAGTTGTTTGGCAAACTAGGTTACCCCTAACTATTTGCAATGTAGATAAGTGTCTCCTGAATCGCCTGCATTAATTCAACCTTTCTTGGAAACTAGAACAATAAAGTGATCAAAAAGGAATTTCGAATAAACGGCAGATAATTGTTCGTTTAAAACTCAAAAACTATTTACGATAGGAATACTGTTCATTGATAAATTTAGTTTATTTGTTATATATTTTAAAATAAACCTGGCTTAATTAAAATGTAAATTTATTTTTTAATCTAATATTTATAATAGAAAAAAAAAAAAGTTTAGTAGACAAAAAATAAAATAAAAATTAGAGTTGTAATAGCCAGTCTAGAATTCACCTCTCCGTGTCTCTATAGGCTATACGAGATTTTCCCGGGCCGGGGGAGAGGGGAGGGAGGATGAGGGCGGGGAATTTGAAATCTCCTCCGGCACCGGGACGCGAACTCGTACTTTTTTAAATCTTCTCAAATCTGTAATCCGGTTGCCAGGCAACTCGCGGTGCTGTGCACACGCTTTAGCCCATTCGGCCACCCCGCCTCCGGAACTTTCTGACTATTAGGCTAGACCGTATAGTCTATCATTTTCATGTACCGATATTTGAACATACATGTATACATACAAATGTAGACTTTTGGATCCGCTGATCATTGTTTAATAACCTTTGACTGATGACAGTGCAATACCTTTTCCGATGCAAAACATATCGAATAGAACAATTTAAATTCAAAACAGCAACGTATTAAGAAAGACGCGCTATTGAAAAAAACCTTCAATACTTAAAAGCAACGAAATTGATTCATCATATTTAGAACAGTCGTCATTAATGATCTCGAAGCGACATTAAATAAAAACAATAAAAAAATTATTGCACATTGTTAAATGATTTTTCGAGATCTAATATTCATATAAAATATTTTGTTATAATAAATAAAATAAAATATATTTTTTTAAACAGAGAAAAATAAAATAACGTATTTTTCTATCTACTGACACCATATGCCAATAGTAAAAAAGTATTAATATATTTTACACTGTTGATTGATCAAGGATTAGGTATATTTCTATTTGTGTAGGCTGTAAAGGGTTCCCCACAAGGAATGCCATTAAATATGTTATGCATTGCCCTTAGTGACCCTTTATATTGGGTTTCAGTTGTATTTATCACTAAATAAAATATAGGAATGTCATGAATTATAAATATTATTCATATTTAATGAATTAGTATACGTTTACTTTGAGACATACCTGTCTCAAATATGGCTCTTCTCCAGAGTTACTACTAAGGTCAGCTTAGTAATATAGTTATATACTTACTAAATATCATAGAACGGTAGAAATTATTAGAATAAAACAAAACCATATTTAATGAGCAACAAGATAAAACGTTTGCCGACTCATACTTTAGAAAAATATAAATGTACCTGATTGCTGCTCAATGAATATTATAACATATATTTAAATATTCTCTAACTATTGAGACAGAGGGTCAGTAAATACATAAAATTGGAAAGAAGGACAGTGAAGGACAAAAACTTAGACAACACTCGAAGATAGACTGGAGGAGGTACATCGATGTGAGTAATTCCATTAAATATGCTACGCCTTTTGCTCTTATTACACTTCATACTTAGTTCAGTATATTTATAATTAAATAAAATATAGGCAAGTCATGAATTATAAATATTATTCATATTTAATTAATTATTATACTTGAATCTATAACTTTACTTTGATATATATTGTTATCTTATTTCTTCTATCAGGTATCATCACAACCACAGGATAGGTTGTAGTCATATATAATTTGTCATTACAATATTACTGTAAATTATGTGTTAGAAAATTTATTGTTAAAAAAAAAAAGCGTTTACATTACATGTATAATATTCGTAACTACGCTATGAATTAATTAGAGAATTACTCACCTAGCACGATGAGATGCACAGGGGCCGAGTGCGGGCCGCAGGTCCACAGGCCGGAGTCCGTGGGACGTGCCCTGCTGATGACCATGGACCCCCTCTCGAGCCGGTACCTTGGGTCCTGGGCGGGGGGGTCCGGTCCATGCTTCCAGTCCCCGGGGGGGCCATGGCACGGCAGCACCGCCCGCCCCCCTTCCCTCACCCGCACCTCTGTAGGTCCTCCATCCCCAGTCACCGCCTCTGTAACAACAATGCATATCTTAAATAGGATGCCTTATTTTAAACAAGTAGAATCGATAGTTTTTATATGTAAGATGATGAGCTATAGTTCTAAAATTGGAAAAAAAAAAATGTATATCTAAAAGACTAATGAACAGTTGCGTGAGATTTGTAATTGGTGCCCTGAGATACTCCCATGTCTCTCACCACTACACTGAGTTAGAGTGGCTCTTCCCCTCCATTCGAAGACAATATTTCCAAGGTACGTTCCTTTATCATATCATCAACAATCATCGTCCTTCTTACGCCTACAACCTTCTCCAATTCAAGTCCTCAGTCCACTCCCTTTCCACAATATCTCGACCTTCCGACCTTTACATTCCTTCTCACAGATCTGCCTCGTTCCAGAACTCCTTTATTGCTCGCTCTGTTAATTTTTGGAATTCCCTTCCTATCAAAATTCGGCATTCTTCATCCCTATCTACATTCAAAACCCTCCTATTCCAATTCCTGTTCCCAAAACAGTCAGATACCCGCTAACCTTTTATGTAAAATTACATATTATTCATAATAATGTTTTTTCATATAGCTCATCACTTATTATTAGATTCGACTTTTTTTTTTTTCAACAGAAACACTGCTAAGAAGAATGTAATGTATTTTTTATTTTTTTCTAAAATTGTATATTTATATTTTACCATTGACACAATTTTAAGTGTCTTGGCAAGGTTTCAAGAGTTTTTTACATATATTTTTTTAAATTTTATTTTGTATATAGTAAGTATAATTAATATTTTCTTTACTTATTTATTTTTATCTTTACTTTTTATGTTTAATTTTATTTGGCCAGGTATAACATTTTAATTTTGTACTTCTTTGTACAAGAGAACGTTGTAAAGGGACTTCGTCCCAGAATAAAATTATTTTCTATTCTATTCTATATAAAAATAAAAAAATTATACCACAATTCGGAAAGTTATCTTTCGTCAGTAGTAGATTCAGGACTTAATTTCTTTTTGGGGAGAACCTTAACTAATTTGGAAGAGAAAGAATGCAACTGTATATAATGATGTTTCTATGGTTCTTGAATGATTAATTCAAATTTGAAGACCGTGTGTTTCCTCATATTTTTTCACCTGTCAACACTAGCGTATCCAGGATTTAATTTTATTTTTGGGGGAGGGGAGAGGCTTCAGCCCGAAGCCTTTTTTTCATGCTTATAACGACAATTAATTCGAAAAAAAACTAACCTATATAGCATGGTGTTTAAGTGATTATTGAAATGGGAGCGGGGTGGCCGAATGGGCTAAAGCGTGTGCACAGCACCGCGAGTTGCCTGGCAACCGGATTACTGATTTAAGAAGATTTAAAAAGTACGAGTTCGCGTCCCGGTGCCGGAGGGGATTTTAAATTACCCACCCTCACCCTCCGGCCCGGGAAAATCCCGTATAGCCTAAACGGCGAGGTAGGGAAGAACAGGAAAAAAAAAAAAAAAAGTGATTATTGAAGTCATATTAAATTTAATTCCACGAAAAATAATACTTTAAGAGATAGTTTTTAATATTTTTTTCTATAAATCATGGTTATATTTTACCATTTTGGGGGAAGAGGACTTCAGCCTGAAAGTCCCCCCGTAGATTCGCCTGTGCCTGTTAAGATTAATTTATTTGATTAATTATACTTAAAGTTGCTATTTATCAGATGCAGATGCTAATACAAGCCATTGGCCGGCCATTTCCCACCGCCTTCGGAAGGGAGGCTACAAGATGTGTGGGGTGGGAGAAAGGTAATGCTCCCGCGATAAAATCTCATCGGTGCAATTTCTCAAACGTCACCGAGCCGGGCCCGATAACGGCACTTCTTCCCCTTTATCGTCTCAATTTACCAACGTTTTCATTCCCCGGTTTCCACTTTCTCCTCGCTACGGTATTTATTATTCTCTAATTCCAGGTTTAATATCCTCCGCAAGGTGAGTTATCCCCCTCCCTTATTGGAACCCTTGGTAGCACTATATATAGAGTGCTTTGTCAATCGGAGATCTAAAACGATCAGCTTTTAGACAGATGTGTGCTGAGATATTTGTATTACAGGACACCTACAACAGGCTTTATTAGAAGCCATGATAAGTGGTGGAACCAATATTTCAACTGCATCTCTTCTATACAATTTATTGAAATGGAAAAAAGGACAATACGCTAATAGCTTGTTTGGTAATAGGATCAATTCGTAGTTCAGAATAGAATGATACAGAAAAAAATAATAGAATTACTTCTGGCCAGAACTATTACAGTAATTAATAGAGGCATAATACAACTTAAGTAAATTAATAATATATGGAAAATCAAAAAATGAAACTATTTACAAAATACTTAGAACTACATACAATATTAATAAGCAATGAAACAAAATAATTTCTACATAACTAAAAAAAAATATATATATATATATATATATATATATATATGCCAAATAAAAAAATATATATGCCAGCTCATGTGCTGGGAAAATGCCCAAAAAACTCCCTCCTCATGACACGTCGTCACCACCGGGTCAAGTTTGAGTTGATGAGGCTCCTTAGGGAAAGGAAATTCACCTGCTTTGACGAGGTATATTGCATCGATAGTGAAGGCTCTACGAGACACGCGGATATCGTCGCATTTCCCAAGACAGGAAGGACAGCGCTGATCTTGGATCCAACTGTCCGCTTTGAGAGCAATGACCTCGATCAGGCGGGTGAAGTGGAAAGGGAAAAGAAGAACACCTACGATAAATGTATCCCTTTCCTAAAAGATAAATTCCGTAAGACCTTCGGAGAGAGAGAATTCACCGTGAGAGGCCTCTGGTTTGGATCTCGCGGAACTATCCCAAAAAGAACAAGGAGCTTCCTTGAGGAACTAGGTGTCGACATTAAGGACGTAGCGAGGTTGGCTGAAAATATAGTCCTGGACTCCCTGGGAATCATTCACCACCACGTGCATGGCTAGCCCGAGAGTTTTAATTTATGCATTTATTCATTTATTTAATGAATAATTGAAAACAATAGAGATAAAAAGAGAGAAGTGAGAGAAAGGAAAACTAAATATTAAAAAAAAAAAAGCATGAACAATGAAAGGAAGGAAAAAGGAAAAAAAAAAAAATGAAAACAAAAATAAAAATGTATGTATATATATCTATTTTACTAATATTAACTAATACTTCTGTATATTTATATATATGTTCATATATTGTCCTAAGGATAGACGAGTATGCTGTGTATATAGCAACCCAATATAATTGGGCAGCAATCCTTTATATTTTATATTTTATGAAAATAAAGTGTTTCTCTCTCTCTTTAATAATAAAGAAACAAAAAAGATTGGAGGGAAAACAGTAAATGAAAGATGTATTCCTTTGATAGATGAGAACCAATTAAAATAGATAGAGTAAGAAATAAAAGATGAAGCAATAAAAATGTATGTATTATATCTTAGTAAAAATTATAAGAAAATAAATAAATGAAGTTTAAGAGCAAAAATGCTTGTAGAACAGAATCGACATTGCATGTCGTTTACCAAACCAAAATATTTACACCTTTTTCTTTTATTAATAAATTAATATGTTATTGTTTTATTATTTAATTGATTTTATATTGTTGCTATGTACGTTGACTATTTTTTATTATATAACTTTGGTTATGTTACTTTTTGCCATTGTAAAATTTATTTATACATATGTTTTTATTCTTAAGGGCCTAATTTCCTCAATAAAGTTAATTTCCATTCTATTCTATTTCAATTAATAAATTATGAATGTGTTGCTACTATAAACTAAATAAAAGAAAAATATATCGGTGTTCGAAATACCAAAGATATGGGCGATAATTATTCAATTTTAAAAAAGTAATTTCTAATTTAAATAATATATTGTTTTTAATATCTCTTAAAACAAAAATTTCAAAAATATTTAAGATGTTGGTTCAAAAACTTCCTGTAAATCTTAAAACTTTAATATTATGGATATTTTATACAATATTTTAGTTAATTATATATTTAAAAAAATAAATTTTTAGTTTGGATATTCCTGTTATATGGTAGGAATTATTTTTGCTCTTATCTCCTCCAAACTGAGCAAGGTAATTATTTTATTATTAAGAGATATAAGTACTCGGTCCTAATAATCTAAGCATTCCATATCAGATGCTAATTGCACATAAACTATTATATAGAAATACATTAGATTAATTAATTTATAGAAAATCCACAACTAGTATTTTGGGTCCTATAATTTCGGGAACATTTTGCTGAAAAATGTATAAATTATGTGGGTGTAGGGCTCCTTAGTAAGTGACTGTACTTCGTTTCTCCCAGCTCTCGAATTTGAGTCCTGGTAAGGCAGATAATTATTTATTCTGCCATGTCAGCTTTAGATCGAGCCTGTTCCCTTCTTGGAACATACCCATCCTTTATAACGTGAATAATCTATAACGATATCATTTGGTTTTCGTACTATTATTTTCCTATTCATCACCCTAACACGGCGTCGTGTTAAGATAAAATTTTGAATAATAGCCCATTACAGAGAGGATGAAATGCTGAACGATTCTATCTCTTACAGTATGCAGGTCCGATTTATAGATTCTGAGATGTTTTAATCCATATCTTCAATAAATTCGTTATCTTTTGGTTTTCAACACTAATTTTTCCTATTCACCTTTCTAACACGGCATCGCGTTAAAATACAATTTTCAATATTAGCTCATTACAAAGAGGATGCAATGATGAATATTTTCCCAGCTAACAATATGCAGACCCTATTTTTAGTTTTAGAGATATTTTAATCCATATGCAAAAACACTTCAAGTAGTCGACTCCGAATGACTTCACCCGAACGTTA